GAATTCTAGTCCCAATTCTGCTATCAGCATACAGATCTGTACCTCAGTTTACACAGGCAGATCTAAGTTTGATTGTAATGTCTGCAGCATGTTCTTAAAGTAGTAAGCCTCAGAACACACTTAGAAGATACCATCCCAGCCCTTGATAGCCCTTGATAGCCCTTTTATGCTATTGTTTATTTTCAAATAAACATCTCCAAGAGAGGTATGCAATTATTTGACATATATGGGTAGCAGAAAAAGACATTCCAGATATTATATTACCTTTCTTTCCTTGTAGTACTCTATTAATAATTCCTGGATAACTGGAAGCTTTTTGCTTTTATTATGTGTATGAATTGTATCTCCTGTGAGGCTCTGAGCTGCCTCGGCTACACCAGTGGAGAATCTAGTGAATTCTCAAACATCTGCAAGCTCATTGATTACCACTGTATAGAAAACCCAGAATGGATTAGAATTGTTATTGAGTCAATTTTTCCAAAAAGCAGAACTCTTCCCTGATAGGAAGCTGAGAAAGCACAACATGGAATCATATTAAAACAAAATATAACTATAATTGGCCCTAGCCGCTTTGGCTCAGCAGATAGTCGGCCTGTGGACTGATGGGTCCTGGGTTCAATTCCTGTCAAGGGCACATACCTCGGTTGCACGCTTGATCCCCCAGCTCTGGTCATGGCACAAGCAGGAGGCAACCAATCGATGTGTCTCTCTCACATCAATGTTTCTGTCTGTCTCTACCCCTCTCTTCCACTTTCTCTAAAAACCAATAGTAAAATACCCTTGGATGAGGACTAACAAAAAAAAAAAAAAGTGTGTGTGTATGTATATGTGTGTGTGTGTGTGTCTAGAAACCTCACTCCAGCCGAGCTAGCAGCAGATATTTTTGGGAAAATTTGATTACCCTTTAATGTATTTTTATAATGACCTCAAGGTGTTTTTCTTTTCTTTTTAGCTAAACCATAAGAGAGAATTAGCTAATAGAAAAAGAACACTCCTATGGGATATTGTTATATAAAGAGCCAAATCTGAGAAGGACAATGAGCTTTCTGACTGCAAGAACGGTTGTTGATACCTTAGCAGTATTATGCCTGTTTCCAGTCCTTTACAGTTTCAAAAAGTCTTTTTTTAAGATTCTTTATTGATTTTGTGTGTGTGTGTGTGTGTGTGTGTGTGTGTGTGAGAGAGAGAGGAGAGAGAGAGAGAGAGAGAGAGAGAGAGAGAGAGAGAGAGAAGAGAAACATCGATGTGAGAATGATACATCAATCCACTGCCTCCTGCGGGGGATCAAGCCTGCAACATGAGCATGTACCTGGATGGGAAATTGAACCAGCAACCTTCCTGTGCATGGGAAGATGCCCAACCAACTGAGCTATACCCGTCAGGGCTCAAAAAAAACTTACACATTCATATGTTCAAGACACATGACCATCTTATGGCTCCTATTATTACCCTCTTTTATAAATGGGGAAATTGATGCTTAAACATTTTGCCCTGAGATTACACAGCATGTGGAAGAACCAGGACTATAATGCAGGCCTTCTGACTATTACTTCAGTACATTCTGAGCATGACATTCCCTCATGGAAGCTGGTCTTTCCTATCGGCTAGCAATGAGCGGCTGACACGAGGACAGTTTTTTACCTTGAGAAAACATTCTGAGCTATGACTTGTTTTTATCAATTTTTAGAACAGCAAGAATTTTCCACTCTGTTCTATTATCCTAGTATATTCACAGTCAGGAAATTTTCCTTGTGCTGTATTGTTCTTCTGAATTATAGTGATTAGGACTGTCTTCTGCAGACTTTACAGACTATAAGTCATAGTAAAGCCAAGTTTATGCATTCATTAAATGAAAAAATTGGGGCCTAACAAGTCAAAAGCAAATGAAGACCTCTACAAAGCTGATTTGTCTATGGAAAATAAATTGTTCATTTAAAGGGAGAGAAATAAAAGGAAAGTTAGATTGATGTGGCTAAAGAGGGTTAACAATTTAAGGCAGATTACAACAGTTTGATGAGAGCATAGGATAGTGACATGGAGGCTGGGAGCCCCAGAACTGGGAAAGGAGTGATAACAGGGAAAGAAAGCTGAA